AGACGACCATCCAACACGCCCAGTACGGCCACTGGAACGTGTAACTGCACCTGCTGCGTCTTTGGGAGTACAGTGACTTTGAAATGGTTTGTTGCACTGCACTCTAAATTTATAAAAACTAATCAAAAAAGGGAGCATAGGTTTGGAATGGCAATCTCACACTAATCAACAGCCTAAGGGCTCTCCTCCTTGAAGGAGGAATAAGGACACTCACGTCAAACCTTGGTGTGCGATGTCTTGTTCAAGTTCACACCCAACCTCATTTCACAACCTTCTCACACAGAGAAGCAGAATTCATTCTGACACGTGTAACTAAAGAGCCTTTATGTATCTTTGTGCTAAAGAGGGAATTAAGAATACCTTTAAGAGGTCACCACTGAAAATTTAAGTACTTGTATCTTACCACAGGAGCCTCTTGGCAAAGTATTAGAAAGCCCAACCTGCATCCCAAGAACTCGGAAAGGGGCACTCACCAAACAGCAACTGTTTTGCTCTCTTGTTGTTTGCTGTGGGACCCCTGACTGTCACTCCTACAGCTTTCCTGAAGTACAGCACGAGTTCAGGCACAAACTGCAAGCCAGGGAGCATTTCTAGTTCAATCAGTTCTACAACTGCATGATCATATTTAACACTTAGCCAGCATTTGGTTCTACAAAGTGACCTTGCTGCAGCAGTTTCAGTGGTGTTCAGACAACACTGATATTATAAAGTAAAATTACAGTTCATAGAATGCACAGGTAGTTTTTGAAGGCACTCACAAGAGCACTGAAACAATAGAGCAGCACCACAGAAAACAAACAAAAAAACACATTTAAGGCTGTTGAACTGTAGAGTCTTTAAATTGCTTTAAGTCCAGAACAATACTGGAACAACAGATGGTTTGACAAACATTTTCCAGGAGTGCAAAGCACGTTCCTTCCCCCTCCACTACCCACCACAATTTTCCTGTCTTCTGATCAACATGAAAACAGCAGAGCTTACAGTGACACTCCCAAAGGAGAGCCCAAACCAATGCACTGTGTGCCAGGGCATTTAGAGATTTATAATTTGCCACAGGCCTCTTCTGCAAGTGCAGTGGGGTCCTGTAGTGGAGATCTCGGGGCATTAGGTCATCTCAAAGCATCCAAACTGTACACAGCCACCAGGACATGGAAACTACCAAAATACGCCACGTGGCAGAATTTCTGCCCCAGCAGAGATCTCGGGAGCAGCTTCCAGGGATGCAGAAGAATTCAGACCATTCCTACTTTAGTCTGTAAGCAGATGGCAGCAATAGTTTGCCTCAGAAATAAGAGACCAGAATTGCTCAGTGCATTATTCTATCAGGAGGAAAGCATCCCACTTTTTTTTTTTTACACATTTGTTATACTTATTTTTCACAGAACAGCAAGAAGGTCTGTGGGAGGGAAGAATACATTGTTGCTTAGCAATGGGATGCTCATAACATGATTGATTTTTTAAAGGTTTTGCTAAATATACACATACAAAACAAAGATAAAGCCTTAAGTACAATGGAAAAGTCAAATTGCATTCCTAAAAATGGAATTACTTAGATCAAAGATTCCCTTTCTCTCTGTATCTGGTAACCAATCAAGTAAATACTCAGGAAGAGATTGTAAGAAATGTGGCAAGTACAAAAAGTGGTAATTTCTCTCGATTTTGTCAGCACATTCAGGACTTGCTGATCCACAGAGTGCAGCCATGCCATTCCTGCATCCTCATGGAAGCATCCTCCAGTAATCCACAGTGTAGTCAGGGAATGTGTAATAACAAATGCTTCCAGTGTTTTCTGTTAAAACTGCCTCCTGGTGATCTCAGTCTTTATTGTTCCTTATTCCCCTTCTCTGCACTGGTGCTCCCAACTTCTGCTCCCCAGACCTCCCAGCAAAGCAAGAGGCAAAATCCCTGACCAGCCCTTTACTTTCAAGTAGATATTCAAATACTTTGGGTGTTTGAATAGACTCACCACCTGTAATTTGCTAAAAGACCAAAAGATCCTGCCAGAAGATCCTGCCTGTTGCAAAGTCTATGGGAATGTCAGGTTTGGGAAAGTAACAGTAAAGGCATCTATAGACAGAAATTTTTCTCTTTTCTATAAACTTAAATCAAGTACATAATTTTCACTTAAATGTACAGAACCCCCCCAACCAGTTTATATTAAAGCACCAACGAAGTTCCATTTGTATTTCTTTTTGCAATAGTTCTTTTAAACCTTAAAGTCAAGAGAATTTGAAAACCCTTAAGTTTATGACTTGTAATATGTTCCATCAGTTTCTTTTTTTGCTATGATTCCCTAATATTCATGCTGATGAAAGAAAATCTTATCTACTTTTTCTGACTAATTAAAATGTGAAGAATGTACAAAAAAAGTGAAGAAATAATCAAGCATATTTTTCTAGTTCTTTTTTGCTGGAATAACATTTTGAGAAGAGGTCCTTCTTGTTTTTATGCTATTAATAATCCTCCATTTGCAAAATCATCAATGTCTGCACGATTATAAAACTGTAATTTCAATTACTGGAGTATGAACAAGTGGGATGAAAGCATGAGTTATGAGGGAGAAACACTGCTCTTTCTTCAACAGTTCACTATTAAATCAGGAAACTAACAATCTGGGAGTGGTAAATGGACTTATTTCTAAACAGAACATTGGGTAAAATTAGATTACACAGGCAAGTAATTTCTGAAGCTAAGCAGGTTTGAAGTGCCATCAGCTGGGTGGACAAGTTGCACAGCTGGTGTTCTTACAGGAGGCTCAGAGCACTGGCAAAGAAGAGATACTCAAGTGAATACACAGCCCTCCAAGTATTTTGGCTGCTCCTACACTGATTTTCATCACATCTTCAGGCCTCTCAGATAAACAATGGGACCTGAACTTCTTTCTCCCACAGATTAGCAAAAGGCATTGTTAAGAGTTAAATGTAATGGAAAATAGGCTTCTCTTAGACACTTAAACATCTCTTCTGCAAAGGAGGAACAGCTGCCACCATCTCAGACACAATGGTACACAAGCCTTTGTAGCTGGCTTGCCATGGAATTTGAGGGTTTTCTGAAAGCCTGAAGTACCAAACACAAGGGTTTATGCACAGATTAAGGATGCCGAGTGTCTGGCTCTTGGGAGAAATAGGAGAGAAGCTACAGAAACAGTACTCAGATCGCCCTGGTTTTCCTTAGAGCTGTGTATGGATTGGAGAGAGTGGGACTGTGAGAAACTGAATGTGAGAAAGTTCTGAAGCATTAAGGGAAACAGGGATTTCCTCGCATTTGGAAAGTACAAACCATGGCACCTGTGAGACTTGTTCCACCTCTACCGACAGAAAAATTTCGTCTGAGGTTTGCTAAGGAAGAGAATTTCAAATCCCCAGACCTGTAGAAGCTCAGGATAATGTAAGTGATAAAAATATCTAAAATACAGTCAAGCTCCAGCACACAGTTTGCTGGTTTTCTTGCATTTGCTGCAGCAGCTTCTGAAAAAGAGAGGACAAATTTCCCTTTGGAGTGCTATGAGCTGTACACTCTCATAATCCAGCTCCCTCCAAGGCAAACCTCTCCTGTGGGCAATTTAAGAGCAGGTGATTTGAATACCATTTACACCTCAGGCTTATGATCTGTAACTCTTACAGATCTTAACAAAAACCAAATTCACAAAACCACTCCTGGCTGTAGAATCCTGCCATTAGCAACGGGAAATATTGACTGTGACACGTCTCATTTGTAGCATCACAGAGACACTGAGCTATACCAGAGGAGCTGGAGCATTCCAGGAACTCAAAAAGGTTTTGGAACTGTTGCCTTCAACACCAGAGAAGTACTAATTCAGCAGAAAAATGTTCTGTAGAGGATTTTCCCAAACAATCAAGTCACCAATACAGCTGTGTTTGTTCAGCCCACGATATACAGGGCACAAAACCTGATTGCAGCAGTTGCCTCACAACTCCCTGTGCTGAAGCAATGACAGCAAAAACAAGGCAGCCACGGAGTAATAATGCAAAAAAAACTTATCAGGTAGATCAAATATCTCTGAGCCAAGTAACCCAGCAGAGCAGTTGGGTTAATTATTGCATTGGTACAAATAATCTTTCCAAATCTCTCTCTTTAGAAATAAGGCAAAAAGATAAAAAAAAATCAATTTTGGGGGTGTATTCTGTACACGTATAAACTACAGTTTTGTTGCCCAGCATCTTCCAGGGCCTGTTGTTGCCTTGTTTTCACCTTCTTGTGCCACTTCCCACGAGATGATCCAACAGCCTGTTTGCAGACAACAACAAAAACTGTGGTGACAGATCCTGCCTGAAAACTGACTGTATGGAACATTTCACTTCTGGAAGGCAGGTCTGAGGTTCCACCCACCCCACTGAACACCAAACTGGACACCTCCAAAACACATACACAAGAGAAATAATAACAATTTCAAAAATAGCAGTAATTCTTAAAAATATGGAAATAGATTACAATAAATAGTGTTGCACACCAAGGACAGCATTTGCCATTAAAGGGAGTGGATGGGTATTCCTGGTTTGAGGCTATGTATTGGCATTGTTTTCCTAGAACACTTAAAAAAATACAGTTCTAAAGAGCCTGAGTGATTTTGGTACCAGCTTCCATTTCCAAAATATCAAGAACTTGATAAAGTTATAAGAGGGAAGCTACTGGGAATTGATTTTGTAGAGAACCATCATTATTTTTAATCCCTCATCCTAACAACAAAACTTTCCATGTTTTAAAATAAAAACTGCAGCTTTGCAAAACTGAGCTCACAACTTCCAGCCTTCTAAATTCTGCTGCTTTTCTGTGCTGTGTTAATAACCATCGAGAAGACATAATTAAACCATAGAAATCACTGCAGTTCCACCTCCCATCCCTTCTTGGCTAAAAATGTAAGAAAAACATAGCAAATGAGATTTTGTCTCAAGTGTTTTCCCCCTGCTATTAAAGATGCTTCTCTGAAAGGAGCACTTGCTGCTTTTCTGCTATTAATAATCCTCCATTTGTGCCATCAGCCCATCCCTCCAGCAACACGCTGTGTTCCAGCTCCTGCCTCGGATCCTCTGCCTGGATCTAATGAGGAGATGGACTGAAATCATGGAAAGCTGCATCTCTTCTCTAGGTGATGGGGGGAATTTGGTTGGTGTGTGTTTTTCTTCACTGGGTGGGTGTTTCATTAAGGAGTGTTCATCTATTTAATGAAGCAAATCTGCATCAAAACTTATTGTCCTGGTGTCCATTTGCCCTCACATAAACAGGGATGAGTTGGACCAGCCCCATCACTTCCCAGCTAATGCCATGGGAAGTCTGGTAATGGCAATGGGGAGAGGATTGACCCTCCTAAGTGGAAATTCGGACACCTTATCACCTGCAAACCTACTGTGGAGTTGGTACAAAACAAAAAAGAAAGGAGGAATAAAAAATAACAACCCCCCATGTGATATTTAGACTATTTTAGGGCTGCCACTGCTTAAATCTCTGGAATACTGTGTTCAGGAGTTCTCATTAACAGGGATTTTAATGGGAGATATTTGTCTGAGCAGCTAAGTCGTTTATGCTTACATAAGACTGCCATTTACAACAAGAAGTATAATAGCATCTCCGAGCTTTTTAATTAAAAATTAATTAGGAGATTTAAGAACAAACTCATTGGGGGTTACTGTACAATAACATGTTTACAAAATTAGGTCTGGGCTTTTTGTTTTTGTTAAGTGTTTCAATCAATTCTGTGTCTATTAAATATAATTACGTATGATGCTTCCTCAAAATTATAATGTAGCATTTAAAGAGCAGCTGGGAAAAGTCTGTAATTTTAACTTCAGAACTAGGGTAACCATTAAAATGCAAATAGGTGCAAACAGCAGTTTGTTGATGAAGGGACCCCTCAGCATAAACATTTTATCCATTAATCTTGAGATCATGAAGATTCCTTCTGCTTTATTACTACTTATTACTTTTGCCAGCTAGGTTTCCTGGAAGATGTCAGATTCCCTCAAGAATAATTCACTGAAATTTGGAAATAAAAGCCCTGTTCTTACTGAGCAGGATAACCCAGATATAAACAGTCACTTCTGTACGTACACGTATGCTAAGAATATATTACATGGAAATTTCTACAGAGAATTAAGAAGGAAAAAGAAAGATTTTGTTCCTTTTTCTAATAGACTTATCACTTTGAAAAAGAAGCCAGGTATTCCACTTCTACCTTAGCTTAAGCAAGTAGCTTAAGTGGATCAGACTTCAATCTTCTGCCCTGATTTAGGAAGGCATTCAACCATTTGCTTAATTTTACTTTGAACAAGGGAAAGAAAGAGTGAGCTCAGGTTTCAGAGATGTATTTCTGGCCTAGGGATTTATTTATGTTAAATTTGTTTATTCCAAAGCTTTAGGTGGAGTTATTCTAATTTGCTACTGCTTCTGTAAGAAGAGAATTTGATCCACTCTGTTCTTCAGTGAAATTCTTTGGGTGAGTAAGCAAGTAATGTGGATCTGATTGAAATAAGTTATTTCACAAATTTAAGTAAATTCAGTTTAACATCAGTTTATCCAACAGAACTAAATCAATGTAGCAGCTTGAATAAGATTCCAATTATGGATGTCACACTGTGTTGGTATTTAGAGAGAGATTTTCTAAAGGGTGAAGTCTAAGAACTGTGCAGAGGTAAACACCAAACCTGGCTGTGCCACAGCTCAGCTGGAGGTACAAGCATAAAATAACATGTAAAATCAAACATGCCACTCCTGGGAATGAACCAACACGAGCATCAGCCACTGTAACAGAGCTTCTGTCACTGGGGCTTAAAGCTTCCCCTCCCAACAGAATCAGGAGAACATTCCAGGCAGTTCCTACACTGGGATTCCACTGTCAGACCCTGACACAGCCAACACCCCCAATTACACCCCTCTGGCCATCAGAGTGTGGGATCACACACTCAGTGCTTCAGTTCCAGGGTTGTTTGGTCACTGGTTTCACTGTCAGCATCGTGGTCTTTGAGCCCCTTAAGCCCATTCCCGGGTATCCTGTTAAAAACACCACAAAGTATTGCACCCTCATTGTTCCCAAGAAAACCCCAAAAGCTCTGTTTTTACAGGGGATTGAAGAAAGGCTCCTAAACACTCTGTCTATAAATAGATGATAAAATAACATGATGATATAATATACATCACACAGTGTCTTAAACACTGCAAAAGAACAGGTCATTCCCTTCTTCCCCATACTCTCTGCCCCATACATGCATGTCCTGATCAACTCACTCATCCAAAGGGTGTCCTTTCTGCCTTCTGCTCATGCAAATGTTCTCTGTAATTATTTAGTGCCTTTTTCTGTAAATATTAGGTAGGGTTCAACTGCATCCCACTGCCACATCATACCAGGCTGTTCATTCTCTGAGAGGGCATTTCCTTGAAGGAATTGCTCAGACTTGTGAGATGTGAAAACTAAGTGAGGGCTGGGCAGTGAACAAAGGACTTAATCACTCAACTAAACACAAAAGGCTTCACATCTTTGCCTGGTAAGTTTGTGACTCAGCCAAACAATTCATTAACAGACAGATGTTCATATTAGAGGTTTCTGGGGGATGATGAATCATGATTACACTTACAGTGACAATGTTTGGCTGAAGGCAACCAGACCTAACATTTCCTGAGTTCTAGATTCCAAAAAATGTCACCCAAAAGGAAGAGGGAAGAACAAAGATTTTGCTGAGAGAAATCCAAGTTTAAAGTAACACTAGGCAGGGAGAGAATGAATTTTCCTGAAATTCAAATGTATGATTTCGAAGTGAAGATCAAGAGTGTTTGTGATGACAGTGGATGGATACCCAGAGTACCAGAGGGCTTTTATTGATCAGGAGACATTATCTCCAACAGAATTGGCTGCTGATTCAGAAGAGAGAACACAGGGGGCTCTGGAGATCAGGGGAGACTTCTGAGGATGGGAAGAAAAAAAGTAGTGCAAGGAGGAGGATCAGAGGAACTACTGGCCTGTGACTCTCACCTCCCCCAGGACAAGAGTCCAGCTGAAATGCAGGAAATTCACTGAAACATCAGGAAACCTTTTTTGCACAGAGAGATTGTGGAGTTTCCATCCTTGATATTGAACCTCTGAGTGGACAGTCCTTGACCCTCCTTTAAGCAGAGGCTTGAACAAGATGCTTTCTAGAGAGGAATGAGATCTGAAATGTGGCATTTGCTGTAGCTATTAGACTTGTTTATTTATGAGCTGTTACATAGTTATGAAGAGATTGCTTTTTCCTGTCTGACTTTAGTATGCAAGATAGTTCCACGTAATCAGCATTTTCAATAAAGTAACAATTACTGGATGATATATGGTTGTCCAAGTATGAGCCTTCTGCTTGTCTTCAGCTGAGAATCAAATTACTGCAACAGCTTTATTGAACTTCAAATGAGGCAGAAATAAAAGCACCATTTTAAAAATTGTTCTCTAAACCACCATTTCCTTATTCCTCACTCAGGTTAAACTATCAGACACTTAGAGAACAGAAATAAAACAAGAACATTTACTCAAGCCAAATAATCCTCCTAAAAAATATGACAAATATAAGTGATGACTTTTTGGTTGTTTTTTTTTTTAGAAAACAAAACAACTGAAAAACCAACCAACCAATTTTATTGATGCAGAACTGTGCCATAGAAAGATCCAAAGCCAAACTTGGAACTTCAAAATAAAACAGAATTAAGACCAAGAATTGAATTTTTGGAACTGAACCTTGGTCCAGTGCCTTTCCAGAAGTGACCCAAGAGCCAAGGTTGAATCTGGTTCAAAGAATAGAATCAAACAAAACAACAAAAGCCACATAACAGATGGGGTGGAATAAACAGCAATTTAAACAGTTCTTTTTACCTTAAAATTTTGTGGAATTTGGTTTTCAGGCTTGGGACACTTTAAGTAACAAAATTTTTTGCAGGAAACATCTTTGCTGTAGATAACAATAACATTTCCTTCTTTGCATTTATTATTTTTGTTTAGATTCTCTGCACACATATATAGGAGTACATATGAGATGAATACACATGCAGGATGTAACCACTTATGAGTCTCATCAGGGCAGGGAACAAAGTCCTGCAGAGAGCTGAAAATCCCAATTCATCCTGAAACCAGCACCTCGAATCTCTGTAGAAACACTTCTAAAAACCGAAACCAATGAAGACAAAACCAGGAGCTGCACTGAGGAGCTGTAAACACACACAAAAACTTTCTATGGCTGCTCAGAGATTCATTCTGCAACCAGTGCACTGCGTGCACAGAGCATTCACTGCAACAAATGACTCCAGGAGTGCCATGAGATGCAGGTACTCAGGAAAATGTGATTATGCCTTGAAGATTTTGAAGTTTTATTCCCCCAAAATAGCAGGTATCGTAGGGTAGTTTCCAAATTCACCAGTTACAGTCTCTAAAACTTCACTGATACTTTGCCTTTCCTTTGCAGAGAGATAATGTTAACAGACAAATAATTCCATTTTCAGCACGCTGGGAGTGACGAGCTCTGCCTTAGCAAGGTCACATGTTATAGCAACAGAACCGAATTAAAATGTGATTTTGGACTGGCTTAGCCACCAAGACAAATCCCCTTAGATGAGCCCTGGGTTTTTAACAAACCTATCAAAACAACTTGAGGAATTAATGGCAACAATTCAGGTGAAATACAGTTATCATCCTACTGACCTTTGTCTGGGTTTTTGAAATTCCTTTTGCCATTTGAGCCCTATATAATTGTTTTATATGATTCAGGCTTGAGAAGACCATGCACATGCCTTCCAAGAAATCACCAAGAATTCCAGTTCTGCAATATTTTTGACAGGTGTTAATATTACTGTTTTTCTGAGTAGAGGTTAGAACTTAGAAGAAAACTGTAAGGAATTAAGTTGGCCAGAGTCATTTGCAAGAAGTATGGAAACAAGGAACGTTTTCATGATTTGCTGGTGCTTGATAGCTTTTATTAACGTCACAGAACTTTCCTGCCAACATGTAGGTTGGTACAAATTAAAGCACTCTTTAATTTGCTGTGCTTAACTGTGCTAAAACATGTGCAGTTGTAGAAAGCCACAGAAGGTCCATAGGAGGGAGATATTCCAAGCAAATGGCTCTTCCAGCAAACTCTCCACTAAGCTGAGCTGTGAAATCTGCTGGGGTGGGTTAAACACCAAATCTCAGGGGGTTCAGAGAAGCATCTGCTGGTTTTTCCCTCTCATTGTTATTCCCAATGCACGAGTTGCTCTGTGCTTTCCAAGCACATTCCTGTCCATGCCCAGGACAAGCCACTTCACTCAAATTTCCAAGGAGATGTTTTACTGCATCCAAGGCCATCCTGGTTCAACGTGGTCTGACCTACCCTGGGAATGCCGCTTCCCACACTCCTGGCAGGGCTGGTTTGGGGAGTGCAGTTCACAACACAAATAAGCCATTAAATGTTCACCCCCAGGACACCCTCCAGAACATTCCAAGGAGCCATTAGGGGGTTTTGTGTCGATCTGCCCCGTGGAGACGTTTGTAAAAGGCTCTTTTGCAGAGGACAATGAAACAGCTCCTTCAGGGAGTGTAAAAATGAATGAGATTAGTCACAGTATGGAGCCTTAATAGTAGGAAAAGCTGATATATATTAATACATTATGATGAATTACCGTGGAGGAAAAGCAGAGAATAGCTAAGCATGGGTTAGTTTCTGTTAGATTTTGGTCAAATAACTCCACAAGCATTATTAAAATCACCTATTTTCTTACAGTGGACTAAATTCCATGTTTTGGGGGTTGGATTTTTTGTCTTTTTTTTTGTGTATTGTAATAAATTATTAAAAAGATATGATTTAGCTCATTTTTTGCCCTGGATGCCATCAATCAAAGATTAACTAAGAAACCTGAGGGGACAAAAATATCACTTGTTGTGTCAACCACTATTAGACTGCTTTATTCAAAGCAATTGAGTCAGTAATTATAATGAAAGTAAACAAACAAAATCATAATTTGTTTACCAGAAAAGCTTGTGGCCATGGCCTACTTGAGAATTAAGGGATTAACTGTGGATAAAAAAGAAACAAGCTGTGGATATTGGTCTAGTAGTTTGAAATTGGGGTTTTTATGTGCCATGTGCAGAGAAAAATGTTTACTTGAACCTAAACCTTGCTGTTACTGGGATGGAACTTTTTCCCAAGGAGGTTTATGCATGAAATTCAAACATAGTGAAAAAATTTCCCTTTAGAATTTATGTAACCATGTGCAGAAACCTACATTTTCAGGTGTTAACTTATTCATAGATATTTTTAGCTTTCCATTGGGTGTAGGGGAACATTTTCAAAGCTACAAGCAAGATTTGTTTTAAAATCAATCCAAGAAGTATCACTGTGTCCTTTTTTTTGTTTGTTTGATGCAAAAAACAACATTCCAGTATCTTTATGTGAAAGCATTTTAATTTGAAACACTGCAGAGAATTTCCAGAAGCCAGGGAGATTGTACTTCTCTAATATGTGACAGGGAATCTACCCCTGAAGATGCAACAAAGGGGGAGAAGAAAAGCAACTTCCTGAGATGAAAACCTTGGTAGATGCTACCAAAAATACCCCAGACAGAAAGCAGGTGGCCAAGGTGAGGCATCTCCCCTTCCCTCTGCAGAAGCACCCCGGAGCACTAAAATTCACAGGACACATTTCCATGGATCTGGTAGATCCTGCACACGTTGCTGAAGTCTCTAAAAGAACCAGTGTACGACCTCACCAAGCAGCAGGTTTTCTTTCAGGGAACTCCTTGCCCCAGCCCAAGTGTGGGAAGGAGCTCTGTTCAGAACAGGAGGTTTCTGAAGGAGGGGGACTGAGCCGACAGTCAGAGCAGCAACATCCTCATATCCACTTCCCCCAAGAAGAAAAAACGTCAAGAAAATGGGACTTGCAAAACATTACCGCTGTCCTTGCTCACAGACAACAGCAGATACACACAGCATTTCCAACAGATACTTGTACAATGTGTATTTGAAAAAACATCCAGAGAATTCCCAGTCTCCTCACTGAGACCACTGCTCTCCGTTCTTATCAATAAATAAGTTTCCTTAATGTCTGTTCCTTGCTACAATTTAAGCCCATTATTTCTTGCCATTTCAGCGAGCCCATGGAAAAAAGTTTATATCTTTTTTGCAGCATGTCAAGCTTAAACCTTCACTTCTCCTGTACAATTCTGGTCTTTCTTGCTCCTCTCTGGCCTGTCTGCACTTTGAAGGGATGTGGCCAAGTCAGACTATTACCTCAGGTGAGGCTTTATTAAAGTAAACCCTATTAAAGTGCTGTATCAATATATTAAAACCAGATGGGCTTTCCCTCAAAACACATTTGGGGTCATACACACACACTTTTTCCTCTCTGAAAGCAGAGGCTTAAGTAGACAAGGGCAAAAACTCTGTTTCTCCACAGAAAAATGGGAGTTCTCTTTTCAGTAATTAGGAACAAGGACTACAGGCAACACTGCCTTCCTCTAGATAAAAATTCATTCATATTAAAATTAAGCATTTATTTAGGATGAAGCTACATGAACTTAGAAACCAGTTTAGCCACCATAACTTACAGAAACAGGAAAGCAAACAATGCCCCATTATTTTACTCTCAGTAGTGACAAGTCAGCCGGCCTGGACGTTTCCTATAGCTACAATTAAGTTGATAAAAGTCAGGGTGAAAGATATCTATCCCTCCATTGCTACAAATTAAACAAAAATCACTTACAGAAAATTGTGAATAGAGCCCTGGAGAGCCGAAGAGCAGCATAGCTCATTTCAGAAAGTAATTTTCTGCAAGAATATTGCACGGGATAATAAAACTGCAGATAAGAACCTCATTTTAGTGCCTATCTTTTGCCTCTGCTGTGTTGTTACCTCAGGATTATGGTGGTGTTTTGGGAAGATAGGAGACAAAAAGGAAACCCCAAAGAAGATATGTGTCCTCATTACTCAGACATCGTGATGAGAGGTGACATAAAAAGCCTCTACACAAGGAGTGGGGTACCTGGTGGAACCCCTCTGCCAGCTGGTGGCAGGTTCAGCTACCTGGAGGCTCCAGCTGGAAAAATCAAACAACTTTGGCATGAGCCCCCACCCAGTAAACCTGAGAGAACTAAATTACCTCCCCCAGGAACCCTTAACAATGAATATTTCTGAAAGTTCCGCTTTGCTGATTTAAAACAAATTATGTGCACTGAGAACAACTGGAATTTCACATAAACTATGGATAAAAAGCAGTAGTTTTCCCCAGGTAAGACCTAGGTTCCCTAGAGTGTCCTGCCAGCAATTTTAACCTCATGCTTCTCACAGTCTGGAGTGGATTGTCCATCCTCCTCCTGCTGTTTGTCCTCCAGAATTGCCTGAACTCATCAGCTGTTTGGAATAGGGACAATGAATCCGAGCTAGAACTTACCTGCACTGGTGGA